CTCGACGATCAACGATCGCTTTCCTGTTCCGCCAATTCTTCCGTCCTACAATCGCTCGTCAGCCCATCAGTTTCACGATTTAGACCGCTGTTTATCGAACGTGTAAACCCTTTCTAGAGAGGTGCTCCTGTAGTGACTTACTTTTATCACGAGAACGCTATTAGTTTATTGAAAAGTATTATTATTATAACCAATTGTACCAGTGAATGTTTTGCTGTGCTCTTTTGTTTAACTGTGCTAATGACAGATATATTGTGCTCCGATTATTCTCCATTATTGTTTCGCGGTTAGTGACTCTGCTCACACGTACTCTCTTCTGCTGCTTTTGCTTGTACTATTTCTTGACACGATCTTGTTATTCTCTCGATACCATGAGATTGACAATCAAATAAACTTGTCAATATTCTGTCTTATGATTTTATTGGCACGTATTACTCAGTAGCAGTGTTCATAATCAACTGGTAGTCGACACCACGCTACAGATATCTCAATTGGTAAACACGATCTGAGAAGAATCTCTCTGTCGAAAAACCTCTTACTCAGGCTAAATGCGTCCTTCAGAAATATTGGACGTTACATATCTGATTGAAGTAACATTTTCTTGTTAACCAGAAAAAATAATCCAATGTGCCATTTTGCGTGAGTCCAATCAAACATACTTTGATTCTGTGTCTCTTAATCTAGATGAAATACTGGAATTTCGGTTGGTACATTGCTGATGCCCTTCATCACGTAATCTCAAACAAACATTATAGTGAGTAGCCTATTTGATGACTTTCGTCTAGGTTTCTGAGTGAAACCTATCCCGAAACAGTCTGCTATGTCGTTTGCCTTCCCGTGATCTTCCTCTGTCGTTTGAGACTCATCTTCTTCCGTAGTTAGAATGACAATCCAATGATGTGTTCTCTTTCTGTGATTGATATGCAATAGCAGTCGCTCAGGCTGTGGGACGGCACATTGTGTCGAATGCTTCTCATATTTTCGTTGCGCTGCTCGAACTTGGCTCATAAGCTAATCTCGGACCGACCTGCATTGTTCCGTCGTATTTCGTTTGTCGAGGATGGTGGCGATTTTTCAACGTTTCATCTTTTTTCCTACCGAAATTCGAATATCATTGTTTATTCACATATGGCTGTTGTTTATCTGTTTTGGGACTGTGGAGAGTATAATTGATCACTTGATTGTATAACCACTGGCGATGAGTACATTTATCTCTCATCAATGCGTCAGAATCGATTTTCTAATTTTCCGTCTAGTCAGTGTAGTTGATCACCTTTGCATGTCCCTTTCACATGTTAGGATGTAACGGGACATCTGCTCGATAAACTAGATCTGCCATGAATTCACATTAGATAGCCAAATGATTAATTCTCCCTACAGGTGTAAGGAACTTTATTTGACTTGAATCGTTAAATTTGGTGAATGCTTACTCTGACACAGATAAAGAGAATGGCTGATTATTTCTGATGACATCTTTAATGCAGCAGAATAAACTTCAAGAGGTAACGGCTTCTAACATTTTGTTCTCAAAAAGTGTTTTTGATGATTATTTTCGGATTCTCTAATTTGTAGAGAGTGCATTGAGCCATCAATTAAAAGGCCTTTTAACCTGTTTTATCAGGTTCTGAGTTTATGTAAAAACGAATTTATCCACTACTCATTCTGAATGGTAGCATCCTATAAACAAACCAGCGTCTTACCCTTCGAGATTTCAGCCGGCTTCCCTCCAGTTCACATGTCTCTCAGTCATGTGTCTTCGCCTTAACAGATTGAGTTGTTAAGGTACAATTTTCATATACACGACAACACTGCCGCCAATACCGTTTAGTATTTCAGCTCTACAAAGTCAGAAACAAAGCAACCAAATTTCACTATAATACTATTCTGACGATAACGCATTTCATCAAATGCCAGTGACATCAAGGTTTTCTGTATCTACCAAATTTTGAGCACTGTCATTTTATTTGGCAGACTGCAAACATTCTTATATCATACTTTTAATCCTGCGGAGTGGTTTCCCATATCATCCAGAGTGATTTGGAGATCACTTTATTCCGGACTTTAACACTGTGCACCTGAATCTGCTGAAGATTCATCAATATCTTCAGACCAATAACTTCTCATAAATTTTCACATTAGCTCAACTTCATATGTAGTTAAAGTACGCTAACGTTTATTGAGTGATACAGGGAGGAAAAGCGGCTAGCTCGAGTATATACTCGGAGCGCGTTTTTTCAGCAGGTGTTGTTATGCCTGGGTAATTTATCGTAATGTTTATTGTAAATGTCAGTCATATCAAAAATACGGCCCTACTGTCTATCTTTTGGAACTGGATTTTATATAGGTAAGAGTACTTGTTATGAAAATCACTCCTGTTTAAGTTGCAAGAATAATTTCCGAATGAAAGGAAACAACGGTTAGCATCTTTCCTATCTATTGCTCCCAATAAAAAACCTCACATACATTCTTTGTGTAAGATTTTACGTTCTGTATTAGTAATCTGCCATGATCTTTCTAGGGCAGACAGTGAACTGTATCAATAATGAAAGGTTCACTCACAAAATAAAACTACGATTATCAGTCTCAATGACTTCTAGCCAATGTAAACTAAAAGTACAGGGAATGTACCTGATAAAATTGAACTGCTATTATGATTTGATGGCGTATGTCCTAATCGCTGTTAGGCCGTGATGTACATCTCCAAGCACCTTACTGCCTACCGATAATGAAATAGATGACCTCAATGTGGAATTGTTGCCCATTGATTGTAACATAAATAATCTAACAGACAAAGACATCTTGACGCATCTTACAGAACGAAGTGTCAGTAGATACTTAATTCTTTAGTTACGACTATGATTCCGATTTATAGTTAGTGCTAGGGTTTAGGATTAGAATGTCAAGTAAGAGATTCATGTCTATATCTAGGATTAAGGTTTGGCTTGATTCCATTTCTAGAACTTAAAAGGTCTGTCATTTATCATTCAAGTGAGCTTCATCAAGGGACTTAAACAGACAGTTGGAATTACTGCTTTCTAAGTTTATATCTGATTAAGGTGCTACTTAGAAATGGTCCTAGATAGTGACTAAATTGTTTAAATACATTTTTGAGTGTTCTATCAAGAGTTCAAACCTTTCTCCCTCTTAACTCACACTGAACAGCTGACTATTGCCAGTCTTTAGGAGGAAACGTGTGCCACACAAACAACTTTCTAAGCTTGTACTTGATTGACAAGTCGTATAAAATTTGAAGCGGATAGTAATTTAATGCTCATTCGTATGTTGTTTCAAGATGAATATATTGAGGATCTTAGGTATAATTTTTAATTCGAGAAACACATGTAGTTCTAAGTAAAAAATTGTCTAAATCATATTATTTGTGCAATATCACAGGCTGGCAACCTAACAATCGTTAATAGCACAAGTTCACCACTGGTCTTGAGTGTCACAAATGTTTGTTACTATATTATGGAGGGTACACGGAGCTGGTAAGTTTCAAGCGGTATCGAAATAGCCGTCCATTAATTTCTGGATAACACCATTTCTTTTTACTCACAGTGCGCTTTTGTTATTTATGCGAAATCTATGACTTTTCATTGTTTCTGTAGGAGATGTGTGACAAACCTTTCTTTTATAACCCCGATATCGATACGAAAATTGCCGGTTTATATGATCTACAACATACAATTGGACGAGGACATTATGCTGTTGTGAAACAAGCACGCCATGTATTTACTGGTGAGAAAGTTGCAGTGAAAGTAATCGACAAGACCAAACTGGACAATGTTTCACGAGATCATTTGTTTCAGGAAGTTGTATGCATGAAACTTGTTCAGCATCCAAATGTGGTTAGATTATATGAAGTTATTGACACGCCAACCAAATTGTATCTCGTTCTTGAGTTAGGTGACGGAGGAGACCTATATGATTACATAACAAGTCATGGCGATGGTCTAAGTGAAAAAGTTGCAAAACGGTATTTTCGCCAAATAGTAACTGCCATTGCTTATTGCCACAAGTTAAGAGTGGTTCACCGAGATCTAAAACCAGGGAATGTAGTTTTTTTCGAGAAACTGGAATTGGTTAAGTTAACAGATTTTGGATTCTGTAACAAATTTATTCCTGGCACTAATTTAGACACAGCTTGCGGCTCGTTGGCTTACTCAGCTCCGGAGATATTGCTGGGTGACTCATATGATGCTCCAAAAGTGGATATTTGGTCCTTAGGTGTGATATTATATATGCTGGTCAGCGGAAATTTGCCTTTTCAAGAAACAAATGATAGTGAAACGTTAACGAAGATCATGGATTGTGATTATTCCATGCCTTCACATTTATCACCAGACTGTAAGCGGCTTATTTCTCGTTTACTAATACGTGATCCACAAAAGCGTGCCCATCTTGATGATATCCTACAAGATGACTGGCTAAAGCTAGATGATAATGACTTACCTATTGAGCTGTTTTCTGTCCCCTTGATATCTCGTGAACATCTTTCATTTGAAGACCATATGGAAATTCTATCCAAAATGGCTGAGGGTCAACTGGCGACTGTTGATGAAATACAGTCTACTTTAGATCGTAATGAATACAACCACATAGCTGCTACATACTACTTACTTGCGGAGCGCAAACTGAAACGTAACTACATAGAAGAATATAAACGGTTAGCAAGCCAGTCTCAACTAATTGAAAAACGAAAACAAGAACAACAAAAATGTATCAACTGTGTGTTTGGACTATCTGAAAATGCAAAACAAGTGCAGAATGTTGAAAACAATATAACTCCTAAATCTTTGGTAAATAGTGTGATGGGTTCAAGTACTGCGGCGCCAACTTCACGCATTTTAAATTCTTTAGGCTCATCAAATGTAGAGGATCGTGTCAGGCGTTTCAGTATGATTTTAGAAGATGAAGAAGAAGAGGACGAAAGTTAAGGGTCTCCAATAGCACCTACTTCATTCGATAGGTATATTTCAGGTATAAATGAGTCAGCGAAAATGGTCAATGATTCAGATGCCTTACACCGCTGTTTCGCTGATACGTCTGAAGAGGCAATGCTAGAAGAAGAGGAAGAAGAACTTGCTACTGTTGCTGGTCTGGCATGCGTTCGTTCTGAACTTTTAACTGATCAAATGGTTAATCATCTATTGAGCACATCCGAATCAGAATTCACATCAAATGTCCATGGAGCTGTGGTTTCGACTCGTCCTTGTTCTAGAACAAGTGTTTCTGCAGTTGGAGCATCCGATGGTGCTGAATCAGATGTTTCTGTTAGTCCTTGGAATGCAAATGGAACGGGTTTCGTAAGTTCCTTGAATCGAGTTACATCCACCACTCGTTCGCTTCCACCTGTTGAAACTCGAAGAAAGAATACCTTTAGACGAGGACTTATATCGCACCGTCCACTTACTACAGTGAAGAGCAGTCCGCAGCTTCTGAAACATTCTGCTGAAGAAGATTGGAACATTCATACCTCAATAGAAACCAATAATTCCCTCCACATGGATAAACGTAGAAAGAAATTAGGAGAATGTTTTATACCAAACCCGGCTGTCTATACTACAGCTGAAGATAGTTTAGGAATCCGATCTTTGCGTAGTTCGTATAATTTGTACCGTAGTATCAAATATGTCGACGATCAGTTGATTGGCCTGAGACCTACAAGTTTTTACACGACTGCAACCCAACAAACATATTCTGGAGCTCATAGTCCAGCGTGGACACGAAGGTTTTTGAATACACCTGCATCGTCGTCTCGTCCAGCAAGTATTGGGAGCTGGAATGCTGTTCTCAACATGAGTTTAGTGAGTGATCAGCGCCGCCCATCATTTTGTTCATCTCCTGTTGAGCCACAAATAGGCACCATCAATAGAAGAAAGGTTCTTTATTCAAATCACAGCCAAGGCACACATGTTTTCAACAAGGGGATTAATCCCGACCGAAGATGCAGTGGACCTCCAGGTTTATTGTTAGCAGTCTCAGGATTGTATTATCCAGGTTCAGGTGTTACGTTACCCAGTCGCTCAGACTCAGATACCTCATTTCTAGAACAGCATGACACTAGTCATTTACCCCCTAACTTGGACCACTCTTTTTCTCCAGAAGAGCCTTCAGATGAATCTTTCACGCAAAATGAGACAAAGTGTTCAGGTACAATTACCGAAATAAGTGATATGATTAGGAATAACCATCGCAGTATTTTGCCGTCAATCTCTGGAATGAATAAAAGAGGTTCTACTAGATCTCCGCATCGTACTCTTAGCAATTCTCGTAAAACTGCTAGTTGGTGTAGTTCCGCACCTATATTGTGCGAAACATCTGAACAGCCCCATTTGACTTTTGTGCCATCGAATAATATTGGGCTGACCACTTTATCACTTGAAGGTAACTCTCAGTTGGGTGGTTCGAATACGGTTCGAGAACATTGCACTCCAATACGTGAAGAAGATGACGAAGTAGTACGTTCTGGAGAATCTACTTTTAAGACACCTAATCTGTTATTTGGCTTGAATCACCGAAGGAAGTCTGAATCGTCAAGTATGCATACAAGTTCAACTCTTTTCACGACATCCAATATTACCCGTGATGGATTCGCAACTTTGGCTGAATCGGAGTCAACTTCAACCATTAGTCAGTTACCCAACACAAGTGCTCAGCGAAACGATGCTTTACAAAATGGTGGCAGTTCACAATGTACTACATCCAATTTCTCACTTAGCTCTCTCGCAACAAGTTTGCGAGATTCACGCTACATGATCGACATTATACGAGGAACATTTGAATTACAATGTCAGTATAACCGTAGATTTACTAATTCCATTGCTGGAGTTAGCAGTTGTGAATATAATTCTAGCCGACCTAGCACCTCAACGTCTGTTCGTAGCCTCACTGCCATATCAGAAGGTTTCCGTATCGAAAATCAACGAAAAGAAGATTCTCCTTCACAAGATTCACAAAGACTCCCCCTTCATCATCGTGATTTACTCCATCCATTGGAATCCATCTTAAAAGCTTCTACAAAAAGCAATATTTTACAGAATTCCAATATGGTCAAAAATTCTATGAATAGTTGTTTGAATCGGGATTTTCTTGTTACAGGTTCATCTCAGAAAAGTAGAATGAGTTTACCAGCTAGTATAAGTGGCATTACAAACACAGATGTTGCTTGTTCAGTGAGTCCTGTTTTAGAATCGATTGAGAACAATTTCCCTTCCTCTCTTTCTCTTGATCATAGTTCACCCGTAAGATTTGACAATTTTCTTACTCATAACCATAGGAATGGGTCTTGTAAATCTGTTAGTCAATCTACAACTTCATTTAAACGTCCTTCACATTTATCTTCAAAACGAGAGTCTTTTAAGAAGTCGAACATCAGCTGTCTTCCTGATCATGGTTGTAGTATAGTTGAAAACATGAATTCAGAAACCCATAATAATAGTAATAATAACAATAATAATAATATCAGTAATTATTCTGAGTTGTCAAGTGAATCCGTTAACCACTGGACCCATAAATCACAAACGCCAAATCATAAACAAGTATCATCGTTTATACTAAGCAAACATAGAGCTAGATTAGCATGTTGCTCAGTTTCGTGATAATAACTGTAATTTTGTCTTCCATTATTTACACGTAATTTGTATAAATAATTTTCTGTTAGTTTTTAGAATCATTTGTTTAAATCACTATTGTGTTTTCTCTCCTTGTTTTGTCTCTTCTTTTTCTCTTATCCCTGATCATGATCAGAAACTGAGATATATTTACGTTTTTATTGTATTTATTTCAGTTCATAGTTCATAGTGCTTTGTTTCACTTTCCTGTATGCGCTTAAGTATGTATCACATATATACTCTCTGTTTTATTTTCTCTATATATCTATCTAGTCCATTGTTCGTTTTGTTCACTAAGCAGCTTAATTACTACAGTAATCTTACCCAGATATTTGAAATGGTATTCTCCCTATTATTATTGTCATTATTATGACTGATTAGTGTTTATGTTACTATGATCATTCTCTTGCCTATACTCCATCTACTACTACCAGCTAGTCGTACATTGTTTACTCGCACATTTCTAATCAGATATATTTGATCATTCATATTTTAGAAAAAAACAAACTGACTATTTTGACTATACACTTTTTATCTTTCTATACTATATTTGATATTTTAAATTGATTGACTATTATGATTTTACTATAGTTGATTAACCAGTGTCTGTATTTTTGATCATGGCTTCTTATACTTTGCTTACAAAATTATAGCAAGTAGATAAGTGTATAAATACTCTTTCTATTTTAAGATGAATAAGATTTTCTCTATCTTATTGTTGATTTCGTAACGTCTCCTTAAACGTATTTTGTGGTATCCGTGCGTGGATCATTTATATTCTTGAGACTAATATTATTAGTAATAATAATAATAATCAGACATTCAACTATACTTTATATCCATGTGTATAGATATACTATTCTACATACTGTCATACACAATTTCACTTTGTCCTGTCATTTCATTATCTCACCACTTTTCTCATTGTTTCTGTAAATATAATACATATAGAATGAATATCATTCGGTTCATGACTAAATTATTCTGTTTTTCTTTGATTCCTTCTTCTTCTCTTTTATTGTTATTTGTCATCAACGCTTTTTCTGCTGCATATTATACCTAATTCTGTAAATATTCGCCTATCTACATGTCCATTGTATCCCTGTTAATCTTTTTTTCTCCTTTTTTAATTTATTTTTAGCTTGTTTTCCAAACTGTATGTCTCTTTATTTTATTCTTATGAGTATATCAAAAATATATATAAATCTATTTGAACTATTATGATAGTTTTGTTCTAAAATTGATTTCATTTGTTGCCAGATTTCCGGTTTTGAATATGGTCTCGATTAGTTGGAAGTTAATTAATTTGATTGTTTGAAAATCTTGTTTACTTCTGCTACTCCGTGTGGTGTGACATAGGCCTCCTTGTTGTTATTCATCCTTCTCATATCTGCTTCTATTTCTCGACGTAATGTGAACAAATGCAAGTGAACACACCCAGTGTAGGATCGGCAAAGCAAGAACAGTATATGGGACTCAAGACAACTGTCAAATAATATCAAAGTCAGAATCTTCAACACCAACATCAAGACAGTTCTACTATATGGAGGTGAAACATGGAAAACTGCTACAACCATAACTGAAAATGTACAAGTAATTACAAACAATCGTCTACACAAGATACTGAATGTTCGTTGACCGAATGCCATCAGCAACAACTTACCATGTGAGGGAATGAGCCACCGTCCATCTTGAGAGGAAATAACGAAAAGACAATGGAAGTGGATGGGATGTACATTACGGAAATCATCAAACCGAATCACAAATCAAGGATTAACTTAAAATTCTGAAGAGAAAAGGAAAAGAGGAAGTCCAAGGACACACGGCGTCGCTAATTTGAAGCAAACAAAACCACAAAGATGAATAACAACTGGAAACAATTGGAAAAGATTGTGCAGGATAGAGTTGGCTGAAGAATGCTAGTGGGCGACCAATACTTCTAGACGAGGTGTAACAGGCGCAATTAGGTATGTAAGCTAGCAGTTCTCATCTACAACTTTCAGTAATTCACATCATATTCAAAAACGGAGAACTGCGCATCAATGATTGTGAACCGTCTATACAAGGTCTACAAATTTTCGAATGCTTCAATGGCAGATTTTCCAATCGGCCAATAAAAATGTTTCTAATGAAGTCCTTGATAACGCGCTAACTACAGAGTCGTAGAGAGAAAAATTACACACGACTCCAGAGTCCCCTCATTCTCATATGTAAGCAAGACATTTCAAAACCTTTAAAACAAATGTCGATTTTACGATTGCTATGAAGTTAAGAGACTCACAGAGGTCAGCAGATAAATTCCGTCGGTGAGAAATTACTAGACCATACGCAAACGAAACAACGATGAAATCGCTTAAGCAAAATATCTTCGTGTAATAACTCTGTCACCGCAAACTATGGAAGGTTTACTAAAACACTTCAATAAATATGTGGTTCACATGCAAACTATTCACAACAACCAGGTGACTCTATTCATATTTCGGTTGTTGACTCTAATGCTAGTGAGTGTATTCTAAGTCATACTTCACTTTCAGTGCAATTATCCTATATTTACTACACATTTTAAGACTGGAAGCTAGGATTATGAGTCTAGGAATGCCGTGAAACAACAGAAAAAACACCAAAAACTACCCATTGAGTTATATTCAATAATACAATACAGAGTCCGCACCAAAAGCGAGTACTTCTGGTAATTTCACATGATAGCAATCTCATATTTACTGTTCACTTGCAAAACTGGAAATTTTTGTTGAGTTCAAGCTAACAGTGTTCTAACATATGTTGAATTATTTCATCAACGAATATTTGAGAATTAGAATTATTGATGTATTGACGACGTTATACGAAGAACAAACAATTCAAGTATCACTCCATTACAATACTCTCATGATTCAAACCACCATCATCAATACTCGACAGAATTCACACTATCAAACAACACAATCATTACATATGAAAACAATAACACAAAACGACTATTAACTCAACTCATCAACTCTTAACTCTAATTCACAATCAGTCAGGTCAACCCCATTATCATATCGTTCACACCACACCAATTTGATCTACTACAAACAACTCAACTCAACTGAACTCAACTCACCCACATTCACATAACAACATACCATTTCACTCCAACTCTCCGCATCACTGCTTACAAACTACACATTCAAGTTCAAGTATTCCATGCACACTCATGCATTGTATAAATAGGCAAACACACTCAGTCTCAAAATCAACCAACTCTACTCAAAACAACATTCATCTGATCCAAATTAAACACGGTGAGTGTAATTGTGTACATGTGAATGACTGATCAACTAACCATCTCACAACATCCTTCATTAATTCAGATGCACCTCAACTTCATTGCGACATTCACTGTGTTGATTCTCGTCAACTTCTTGGATGTCAATGGTCTTCCCACGCAGGATAATGCCGTCAACGACATGTTGTTGACTGGTATGACAAAAGGTGATATTGTGTTTTGCATTTGACATTTGCGTTATCCAGTATCTGTTTTCGTGAACTCACATCACGATGTAGACAGATGTACTAGTTGTAGTGGAAGTGTCCACCATCATCTCCTTGGCATTGGACGTATATTGTGCCAATCACATTGTTCACTCACCATGTCTACAATCACATACACCACATTACCATCCTCTTACGACACAAATTCACGGTCGATGAAATCGATGCGAACGTGACCTCATCTAATTTCAAATATGATTGGAATCAGGGTGAACAAATGTTTTCTATTCGCTCATTCAGATAGTCATCATCATCACTGCATCACCATTGCAACATATGGTTGCACATCTGAATGTGAGAGATCACAACCAAGTGAATGGTGTCTAATCACTCAAGACTGCATGCTTGTATATTGTGTTGTGTGTAAATTGTAATTGTCGACCAATCGTATGCCAGACAGAGCGATTGACTGATTGATAATTGTTAATACCAGGGATTGAGTTTGTATGCGAATCGTAATGGGAAGCGTGAGTGTCATTTCACGTGTATGTCTAACAATCGGCCGTTGTTTGGTGACGATTATGTCTAAAATTTATTCAAAGTAACTGACAAATGTTCTGTCGATTTATAATTTGAGAAGTCATTAACTGATCAGATTGATGTTGTGTTGGTTGGGATTTCGAAACGCATGGCAAACAGAATATTGAGTAAATTTCATTTCTCTATTTATTGAATTGTTCTTAACATGGTAATATTTTCTCACCACTATTGTTGTATTGTTTTTCAGAGATAAACGAAGTGTTGAAAAAGCCGTCACATAATGATCAAAGTATTACTAGTGAACTCAGAGAGAACCATGACTTCGGTGCTATACGTGAATTTTTAGGTAGAAAGTAAATTTATTCTAAATGAGAACAAAAATGTCGGCTTGTTCTTTCTAATGATATTAATGTAACGCATATAGAACGATGAAAATCCCTTCGTATTATTTTTGTTGGACAGTATTGTCATTTATCTTTTTCGTTTCCCTGTCGTGTATTTTAACCTTTGTTCAAATGTCGGTTAACCACACCTTTCGTCCTTCATTCTTTCTCACGTGTGCTTTTATTTTGTGATTTTGAATAAAGACCTAATTTTCTATTGCGTGTTGATACATTATTGACAGTGTGGTCGTATTTGAAAAGCTCAGGGTCACGGCGTTGTTCAGTGTGTGACTGTTATTGATTCTCAGGTATTGAACTCTCAATATTTGATGTGTTTCTTTAGCTTTTTAACGCGCCACTTCGCGTTAAAAAAACGTTTGATAGTATAGCACATGCTACTTATTTGAGTAAAAATACATGACTTAAAAGCCCATCAATATGCACAAATGTCGCCTGATGTTGAGCAGTCTGACGATCAACACTAAGGTGGAGAATAACTAGCACGCATCAACCAGTTGCACGCCTTGGATAGGCGGATGCTAAACAATGACACTTGATTGCGGAACTCTGGATTAGGTAAAAGGTTTTACA